CACCCAGAAGAGTCCATCAAACAGTAATGACCCGCATTCGTTTTCTCAAATAAGTGGAAAGCCCGCGGGTTGTTGACAACTACTAACATTGTACTCGGGCATTTGCAAGTAGACTTCTCAAGTACGAGTCGAAAAGGATGCTTGCGAGGGAGGAATTCGGTGATCTTCAAACAAAGCGAGATTTTTTCGCTGTAGAAAAAGCATCCGTGTCCATCAAAGACGCGTAGCTGAGGAATGGAACGCCTGCATCCAATTTGAAAACCCATGTGAATAATACACCACTGAGATCATATTTTCGCAAGACTGCTAGAGTGAACTTGACAATTCTGATGCAGGGCTAATACACTTGATACAACTCAATTTTGATAACCAGTTGGCTTTAAAGCAGCATGCGAGGCACGTTTGCCTTACCGACCCGCACAAGTCTGATAGTAGGACAGCGAATTTGGCTGGGCCAATTGTTTTTTTTACCCGTTGCAAAAAAAAGCGAGTAAGCAGAGCCCAGCAGCAGCAGTAGCAGCAGCAGAAGTCTTGCAGATAAGCCAAGCACCAACAGCATGTATATTTGAGAGCAGAAATTTGTAGTTTTGGAACCAACCGATGTTAGTGATGATAGTAACGCAGCAGTACGTGATAAGAAGCAGGCGTGCATTGAAATGAAGTGTTTTGGTGCGATAAATGATCAAAGCCATGAAAACAGCGATCGCTGTACCGAGACAAGCGATCGACAGCTCAAAGATGTACAAATTTCGGACCAAAGACGACCGCACATACAGCACTTCAACTGCCTCGCAGAGAAAGTTGGCACGTTTTTGTCCAGTTTCCATTACTCACTGAAAAATGATAAGCCTGCTAATATCTCAATGCCGCCATGGAATTCAACAAAGATTTGGGATGAAGCGTCTTTGCTCACAAGCAGGCTTGAGTGAGTAAAAAATGATCAATCCTTAAGTAAATGCACCGCATCCTATATTAACCAAACTTTTAATCAAACTTCCACTGATTTGTTTTTCTGCTAAGTGCTTTTGCCGATTGCTGCTTAGCAGTAAATAAGTATGTAAGGACCAACAGCGATGTTCCCAGGACTTTATTTTTTTTAGACGAGGAGCTGGCCAAAAACCTTTGAGTTTCAGCAATTTTTCGGGAAAGTGAAAAGTTAAAATCCTATTTGGGTTCTATAAGAATCAATGGGGTTTTCACTCGAACGATAGCGCTTGTTCAATGCAGTTGTCCGCTGCCAAGGCTGTTGATGGTTTTTCCGTGTAAGGAACGCCCGAAAAACCTGGGGTTGACTTTGAAATCTTCAAATTGCACGTGGACTGGGAGTAACTCTTCAAAACTTCAACACTCCAGATTTTCTGATTCCGAGTCAATAATTTTCCTGCCAAAATTTTTATGTCATATTACTCAAGACTCAGAGTGCGTAAAAGTTGGCAATACTTTCTTGGAGTGCACTTGGCTAGGGAATCCACTTGTAAAACCTAATCTTGCTTGACTGGTGTGTTGAAATACCTGGACAGACGCGCACGCATGCACTCATACACACGTATACTAGAGGTCATTCGTCACTATATGCGTTTTTAAGCTTTTTTGCTGTGCAGCGCTACAGCCAGCAAAAACACATATTGTCAAGAGGCTGAGTGTGTGTGTGTTCAGAAGCGAGTGCATTTTGTCACTCACTTTCATCTCAGCAACCAAGTGGGAGGCTGGAACTTTGGTTATATGTTCCTACTCCGTGTGTCATCCTCCCGTTTTAAGATCTTTTCACATACGCGCCTAGACCCCGCGTACAGGTCCCCCAAAAAAATAAGTTGACGGGAAACGATTTCGCGAATCAGGCAAGGTAGAAGGCTGAAACTCTGCTGGGATATTATCTATGCTCGTGCGAGCTAAAGATTTTAAACTCAGCTGTCGAGTGCCCCAACCACAGCCTCAAGCAGCTCCTCAACCCAAAAATCGTTAACAAATCCACCGCAACCCGGACCCAAACCCCAGTCGTATATGTAAATGAACATTAGTTAATTCGCATACATGGATTTTTCGAGAAACAACTGCTCGAGCAGTACTTCCACTTTTTATGCGTTTTTGCTGTGCAGAGCTATAGCGCTGTTGCAGCCAGCAAAAGCTCATATGGTCGAGAGGCTGTCTGTGTATGTGTCCGGAAAGCGAGTGCATTTTGTCACCCACTTTCAACTCAGTAACCGGGAAAGCTAGGAGGCTGAAATTCGGATATATGTTCCTACCCCGTGTGTCATCCTCCCGTTTTGAGGTCTTCCCCCATACGCGCCTAGACCCTGCGTGCGGGATCCCCAAAGAAATATTTTGGCAGGAAACGATTTTGCGAACGAGGCAATGTAGAAAGCTGAAATTTGCATGGGTATTCTCTATGCAGGTGCGAGATAAAAATTTTAAGCTCAGCTCTCTAGCTCCCCAACCACAGCCTCAAGCAGCTCCTCAA